CAGGTCTTAGCCATGAGTGACCCCAGGCAGCAACTATGTATCTTGGAAACCCCAGAGTTCACCCAGCCGGGCGGCCAGCAGGCAAAGCCTGACACCACTTGGTGCATTGGCCGCAGCAGTGTCTTTGGCGTGAGTCCCCTGCATTGGGTACGACCCGGCAGGGGCACTCCCCACAGTCGCTCCCCCTTCCCTCTCCATAACTTGATCTTCCTGATCTTAAAAAAAAAAAGTCTATGACGCCTTCTTTTAAACATAAAAATGAGGACTTGTCAAATATAAGGACACTGGCAACTCACGTTCCTAACTGGTCCGGTCAGATTCCTAACAAACAGGTCAAGGTCCTGGGGCGGAGGAGCAGGCCCGGGGTGGCGTGGTGGAGGCGGGGCCTGCATCCCATCTCACAACTCTCACAGCCTCAGCTCTACAAGGCAGAGTCCTGGGAGGCAACAGGTGAGGTTGCCGGGTACCAGCATCCCGACCAGCACCTGTGAGACGCACCTGGGCTTCCGGCTCCTGCCTTCAGCGAGGCTCAGCCTCGGCTCACAGGGATATCTGAGGAGCAGCCAAACTGGGAGAGCACTCTCTCCAAAGGTGCCCGAAATTCCAGAAAATCTGCACCCCAAATGTTCCTAGTGCCTGATGCATATTCATGAGCCAATGCCTAAAAACTGGTCAAGTTTTACTGAGAACATTTAAATGGACTCTGGGAGAAAAGACCATAAGTGAAACAAAAGCACCAGAGGACACCCGCCCTGGGGCTTCCCAGGCACTGAGCCCAGCAGCCAGCAGAGCACCCGGTGCTCAGGCTCCCGGAGCCACTGCCAAGCCCACCCGACGCATTTCTCCAGAGAGGGACGGCAGCATCGGTCCAATCACTCAGACAAGAGAAGTGATGCGAACCATCACTCTGGCCACCTGGAATGCTCAGGACTGGTTTATTACACCAACCCTTCAAGAGGGTATTACTCCAGCCACACGTGAGAGTACTTAGAAGCTGAGACGATTTACAAGCATAGAAGAACGTGTCAGGCTTTTAGAAGCAGAAAAAAAAAAAAAAGAACAAAACAAGCAAACAACAAAAAAACACCTGTCAGACAGAATTCCAACCCAAGAGCCCAGTGGGATGGCTCGGTGGCTTAACTGTCACAGTGCAAGTGCCGGAAGACCCTATACGTGCCCCAGGATCCCACTTGGCACTAATTCGTGTACCAGCTGCTCCACTTCCCATCCAGCTCCCTCCTCATGGTCCAGGAAGACAGCACGGCCTGCACTCCATGGGAGCCTGCACTCACGTGGGAGACCCAGAAGCAGCTCAACTCCAGCCGTTGCGGCCAAGTGGGAAGTGAACCAGCAAGACGGAAGCTCTGTCTCTCCTTCTCTCTGTAAACCTGCCTTTCCAATAAAAATAAATCTTTAAAAAAAAAACATCAAGCCCAAGCTCATCTGTCCCCTTCCCCACTGTCCCCTGGTCTCTGGGTGCGTCCTAACCCTCGGGCTTATGCCACTAACATTATAGAAAATCCCTCCTTAGCTCCATCCATGCTGGAACTAACACAGAGAATTCTGGCAGCTCCTAGTCCTCCCTCCGCCACAGCGTGAGCGCCTCGAGACACTGCATCAAGCACGGACCGGGACTAACTACTGAACACTCTGAACTTACTACCTGCCACACACCGTTCTAAATGCTTATGACAACTTCACGAGGTAGCTCCTACACTATTGTTGCTTTACAGATAAAGAAATTAAAGCACAGAAAGCTTTAATAACTTGTACAAAACCAATAATGGTTTCAGTGAGCATCAAGCATGCAAGCATGTTGCCTGGCTCCACAACCAAGCCCTTAATCTACCCTTCCTCTCTCCCGCAAGAATTCAGGCACAGTTTCTCATTTATTTTTCTCAACTCTGTGAGTAAAACATTATCAATTTCAATTTATGCATGAGAAAATGGAGGCTTAAAAAATGTAATTTAGAGAAGGCGGGCTGGCACATGAGGCTAATCCCGCACCCTGTGGCACGAGCATCCCACCTGGACATCTGTTTCTGTCCACTTCCGATCCAGCCTTCTCCTCGTGGCCAGGGAGGGCCGTGGACAACAGCCGTGGACAACAGCCGTGGACCCAGCACCCATGTGCAAAACCCAGAATTAGTTCTTAGCTTCAGCCTGGCTCAGCTCCCGCAGCTGCAACCACCCAGGGAGTGAACCAATGGATGGAGAGCTTCTCCCCATCTCTCCTCCCTCTGTGAAATCTGCCTTTCAAATAAAAGCAAAATGTTTAAAAAACAAACAAACAAAAAAAACAGGTAATTTTCCTAATAGGCAGACTGCTCCAGGTAGTCAAGGCAATACTTTAATCCATGTGTTGTATCTACTAATGCCACGCCGTATCAAAGAATACTACTACATGGCGGCAAGCCACATCACATCTACATATGTTAAGATAGCTAATTTGAAAAACTCTTCAGCTCTATAGAAGTTCTTTAAAATGCTGAAATATGAGGCAAAACATGTCATGACGGTAGAAACTGACTAAAATGGTCTTTTGGTGCAGAATAATGGGGCAGAAAAGAACTGTTAAAGCAGCACGTAATCTTCTATTAGAAAGCCACATCATTCATATTGAGCAGTAAAACACGGACAGGAGACCCAGCAGGCGCCGGGCGCCCGGCTTGCCCTGGCGGGTAATGAGTGAGCCTCACTGCTCCTGGCTCTTTCCTGACACATCAAGAAACAAAAAGCAACAGAACAGACACACATCACGGCCTGGAGAGCCACAGCCTCAAAGGTCCCCTAAGCCTAAGACATTATTTAAATTGCTACTGATCAAAACCCAGGCACAGACAGATGCAGCTGAGATTATCACACGCTGAAGATATTCACCTTTCCCAAAGCAACAAGAAGACAAAGGGCAAAAAGGCTCAGAAAGTCATCTTTCTCTCCACCAGATAAAAATATTACCGCTTTCAGATGCTGTTTCTAGAGACCCAATTAGACAGTGTCACGCCTCTGCAGTTACACACTTTAGTATTTCAGAAAATGTCTTCCACCAATTCTCCATCCAGAGTCAGCAATGTAGCCATGCCTCTCACACTTCCTACATATCCCCAAGTCTCAGAGAGCAAAACCGACTACTGCATCTACAGCATACATCTACTCGAAAATGACAAGCCCTACCTAGACAATCAAGTCCACATTCTTAACAATGGAAAGACAAATTAGAAGCAGCCAGCAAGCTTAATTGCAGTTCCTTGTACTCCACACAGATTTTTAAAAGCCTAGACACAGGAAGAAAAGCTGTAATTTGCTATGCATCTTTTGTAGAATCTTGCAGCTCTGTTGAAATTAAAGGCGGGGGGAGAAGCAATTAAAAAAAAAATTGGGGCTGCTTCACATGAGGGAGAAACAATCCTAAAAAAACTGGCATTGTGTATGCAAAGCATTAAATATCTTAGAGGCCAGGCGAATCAAATAACATGTGAATGATAATCTTAAAGCGTTCCAAGTGTTCCGTGGACAAACAGGTTCCACTGTCAACCTTTTGAAAGATGTTTTGAAATAGGGTGGAACTTTGAAGATTTCACTTCATACGACTAAATGCCTTAAGCTCACTGTTGCCTTTTTAGAACTGAAAAAAAAAAAAAAGTTTTTTGTTTCCAAAGCCAGACACAATGAAAAATGATTTTCAATCTTGTCGCTGAAGCCAGGCACACACATCAAGGCTGGATGTGCAACTCTGCCTAGCCGTGGTCAACCTCTTCCCCGCGGCGACTCCGTTCCAAGAGCTTTTCCAACATGCAAACACGCCAGGATCTCAGATAAGAACCTCCTGGCTGCTCCCTCGACGAACACCAGCAGCAATTTCTCCGGAAAACCCAATCAAACACAGCCACCCAGCGAATCTTCATTCCCGAAACACCCGCCTCTCCCCACCATGTTCCTAACGTACCAGCCAGGCACCCTAAGAAAGCAGACCCTTGGGCATTTCCATCCGCAAGGGAAAAAAAAATAAAATTCCGAAAATCACAAAAAAAGAAAAAGAGAAAAAAAGAAAAGAAAGGCAACTTAAGAAGCAAAACCACCACAACCCTCAACTCCCGGCGCTGCAACCCGCCTGCCGCGGGGTGGGGTCTTTTACCTTCATTTTCCATCGAAACTGCACTCGGGTTGTTGGCTGCAAGTCTTTAGGGTCAGCCACGGCCACACTCGGGGCGAGTGTGGACAAGGGACGAGAAGCCCCCGGGGTCCCGGGCTGCTGTCACCCCCCGCTCCTGGCCACGCGTCCCTCGGCTGCTCCCACCACCCCCAGCAGCAGCAGCATCTGCAAGAGAAACGGGGAGGAGCGGCGCTAGGGAGACCCCGCCTCGGCACCGCCTCGGGGGTGCGGGGCTGTGGGGAGACCCGCGCCCACCCCAGGCTGCCCGCCGACAGCAAGGTGCCCTCCCGCCTCCCCCAGGGGCCTTGGAAGTTTCTGGAAACGGGGCCCACAGGGAAACACACACACACACACAGGTGCCCGTTCCCAAAGCTCCCCCATCCTCGGGGCCGCCAGGACTCACCCGCGGGGGAGCTCGCGGGGGATGGCGCCCCGCGACCTCGGGGCCAAGAGGAGCCTCCCCGCACCGTGCGGGGGTCGTGAGACGCGGGGCCAGCGGGCAGGCAGGCAGGCAGGCAGGGCGGCCAGGAGGTACGGAGTGGCCGGTCTCCGTCGTCGGCTCGCGCGGCTCTGCCTCCCTCCCGCCTCCGCCTCCCGCGCTCCGCCCCGCCCGCCGCCCGGCACACCCCGCACTCCCGGCCGCCGAGCCCCGAGCTCGCTCACAGCCACTTCCGCCGGTGCGGGGCGCGCGCAGGCGCACCGGCCCTCCCGGCCGGAAGGCGGAAGTGCAGGGAGGCCGCGCAGTGCGGCCTTGGAGGGGCGCTGTCGGGCTCGTAGCACCTCAGACGACCCTAGGGTGCTGGTGGACCCCGGGACGTTGCCTGTCTGTTACCACGCACCCACTAGGCGCGAGGGACAGAGACCCACGCGCCCGTCGCGCCGGCCACGCATTCCTACGAGGCAACCACTGGGCCACCACCCCGAGTGGATGGATGGGCGGTGCAGTCATGGCCCCCTAGCCCTCCAACAAAGTCATTAGAGAAAAAGCCCTTCACGTCGTCGGGACGGCCGTCACAATCTCGGCTGGCGACGCGAGGGCAGGGCCACCCTGTTCAGCCCGGCATCTCCCTCGCCTGCTCGCCCGCCCCCTGGGCCAGGCAGGTGGTCGGGGGGACCCCGTCCCCGAGCGACGGCTGCCCCATAACCAGTGTGAAGGGGAAGGCTCCGCCTCAGAGAACTTCCAGAAAGACCCCTTCATTTGGAAGGTTTGTAGTCCCTGGAGAGAGGCCGGAGAGCATCGGGCGGTGGTCCGGGCCGCAGGGCGGGTGTGAGCCTCGGCCACGAGCTGTGTTGGCCGTGGGCGCCTTTCACGTACTCAGCACCTCACTGAGACCCCTCGGAAATGACTGACTATTTTGACAGACTATAAGCCTTGCTAGAGTCAGAGACGCGGCCGAGGTCCTCTGGTCCCCGCATCCACTAGAGGGCAGGGCTGCACCTGCTGTGTGTGCGCCCATCCTCCCTGGAAGCCTGGGCAGCCAGGATGGCCGCACCCACTATCCTGGAGGTATTTTTCTCCAACACCTCACACTCCCTACACATTTACCCTGTATCTCTTGTGTAATGTATCCCAGTGTGCTGTCAGACCATTCCTTCAACCTAGCATAAACGGGACGGGCTGTTTTCCTGTTTGGTTCTAAGTAAATTGAGATACTCTAGGAAGGATCAAAAATGTAAATAACTTTCTGGATTTACCTGTTTAAAAGAAATACGCAGGCTTTGTCCAGCCGAGGGCGCGTTTCAGTTTGAAAGATAGAACCTTCAGGTGGGTGCCCAGCTTGGCAACCACTTCGGCTTTCAGATTTAGCAATGTTTGCACAGTAACGTTAAAAGCTATCGGTCTGTGTGATAAATAAGGTGCTTCTTGCCCAGTGTTGTAATCAATGCGCAACGGTTATTAGTTAATGGTACTTATTGGATTCTGATCACATCTAAGAAATTTAACATCTGTAAGATAATTGCATGATATATATGCTACTGATTGGACTTAGAAAACAGAGTATGGAGTTTGTTATTGCATTGCTTTTAATGAACTGAAACAATTCATCTGAAGTAACTTTGCAGTATTACTGTGCACTGCAATACCCTGATATTAATGCTGAATCCGTAATTAACTCCTCCAGAGATGTATACCTAAATTGACTTACATGGAAATTTTACTTTGTGATCGCCCAAATTGTGAAAAATATAGTTCGTATGGCTCAACCAAAGCAGGAATTGGGTTAGGCCAACCTCACCCAGAAATTGTTGCAGACCTGTCAGATCACAAATCCCTAGACATAGTGGCAGCAAAGAGCCTGGAAAAACGGCTTGACTGACCCTTGAACCTGCTCAGCCTCTCCCTTACACACGATGCATTCTTCTATACCTGGACACCTGCCCCACAGAAGGAATTGACATGAGAAATCCTAGTGGCAGAGTCCACTGATGATACACACATATGTAACTGCATGTGAACATAGATTTATGAACAATCCTCAAACACGAGTGATGGGAAATGCTCGCGCCACCAGCTTCAGAAAGCGGAGTATTCCTCCCAGCATCTCCTGCTAAGATCTGACTAACCTGCCATCGAAGTGTTGTGTAGTGATCTCTCCTAAATTTATGTCTCCTGCAAATGTGAATTTTATATATAGATGCACATGACCCTTCTTTCCTCTTAAGAAGGAATCTGATACAACATGAGGTAGATTATAAATCATGCAGACTATAAAAGCAAGATTCTTGCAGAGACAAGTGAAAAACTGTTCTGTTAGCTAGCTAGAATGAAATTGATGGCAATGGAATGTATTATGTTCAAGTTTCCTCTTATCTCTTCCTTACAATTAACTGCTATAATTTTTTTTTTTACTTTCACGTTGTTCTGAATATTTAACCTGCAAAATTAAATTCATCTGATACAAAGAAAAAGTAGTTGATGAGTAATGGGAGGAGATGTGTGGAAATTTTCTACTTAGGAGAGCTAGTTCAGATGGAGAAGATAAAGAATGTTCTTTGGGTTCCAGTTATATTTATGTTGGACCTTATTCCACAGAGCGTGGAAGCCATTTTGTTTCTAACATCTAGTTTGAGAGCTGGCATTTTTATAGATCTGGATGATAAAAGGTTATTTAGGATTGAAAAGCTAAAAGCTTAGAAAATATTATTTTAAAATACTTCCCCCAATTAATTTCCTCTTTTAAACTATCTTTAGTATTGGATAAAGTACTATGGGTTAATAATTAAGGAATTTCCCTAGCTGCTAGAAATGATCAATTTTTTCCCAAAGTTCAATATTTTATTAAAGATGCAAAGACACAACACAGCACTTTGTATGTTTTCTCCTATAGCACAGAAAACATGGTAGGTGTTAAGTTTGGAGAAGTACAGCCTTGTTGCAAAGGATCTCATGAAATCAGTATCTAACAAGCACCTAACAGAATTGTTTTAAATCTGCTTGGTTCCATTTTTTTAAATGGAAAAATAAAAGTTGGAAACAAGAATAAAAATTTAAAAGGTTCGCATTTGAGCTACTTGTGTTTGGCGGGCTTAATAGCATAAAAATCTCCACATACTCTACAAATATTGTATCCCTCACAGTGCATTATACCCTGTTATGCACTTGCTGGCATTCTAAACATGAAATATCTTCATAAAACTGAGTGTAAGCACTAAAGTAGAAGGTTTAGCATATACTCTTAATTTTCATGTGTGAAAGTTTCAGTCTGATTCTGTGCCTATTCTCAACAGGTGCTGAGTCTATGACGATGTTTGGGATTCAGGAAATACTGCTCAACCCCCTGGCTGGAGATGAGAACATGGAGGGGTGCAACTGAAGAGAAGAAAGAAAAGAAGAGAGCAAAGTGCCTGTGAGTTCCATGTCAAACAGTCGGCTCTGGGCTTTATCATTTCTATGGGAAATCAGTGCACACTATTCCAAGTTGCATAAACTCCAAATCCGTTTCTGGGACACAGATGGATCTTTTTAAAGATATCATATCTGAGGGGTTTGCAGTTAACACAGCAGCTAGGATGCAGGTTGAGATTCTTGCATCCCATTTGGAGTGCCTTGGGGCCACACTGCAATCCGTCCTCACTCCAGCTTCCTGCTAATGGGCAACCTGGAAGCAGTGGTGGTGGTTCATGGGACTGGGTTTCTTCTACACACGAGCTAGGTAGAGTCAATTTCCCATGGTTGGCTGCAGCCTGACCCAGCTCCTGCCCTTTGTAGATGGATATTTGAGGAATAAACAGGAGAACAGGAACTTGATCTTTTTTCATCTGTCTCAATTTTTAAAAAAAAATAAGATACTGTTTTGTAAGGTTCCTATACTTGCATATTTCATTTCTGAGCCCAAAGCATTGACTATAATATATATGCAAGAAAAACCTATTGCACCAATGAGAAATCTGGGAAATGGTTTTCATAAACAAATGACTGTTGTTCAATGAACAACAATAATGCTGCCTATGGCTTTGCTGCTTGCTTCTTGTGATCATGCCACAACCCGAGCTTCTCCTCGCCAACAGAGCAAAGGGGGATTATGGGACCTTGTGAAGGGTAAAAACAAACACCTCCAAACCTGCAAAGGGGTTAACAGAGACTATGATCCAAAAGCCCTGCTCATGGGCTGATAAAATTGCACGTCCAGATTTTGAGTGCAGGTAGCAATTGGGAGTTAAAAGATGACAGTGTGGAGATGTTGCTTCCACGCACGGAGGACATTTAAACCGAGCCTGTGCTTCGGATTTTGACAGCTTGCATATCAATGCACTGTAACTTCTAGCACAGTCTTCAGTCATTACTCTTAATTCCTGCACGAGACAGCTAGCAGGCTACATATAAGCTGCAGGCTCTAAAATAGCCCTGCACATGAAATGGCCAGCATTTTCTACCGCCTTTAACTAGGAGACAGATTCTGTCTGCATCCTGCCCGCAGGCTCCCTGCTGTGTCAGCAGTAATAGCCTAGGCCGCCGCCCTTTGTTTATGTGCTCTCTCCATTTCACATCAGAAATATTTTCAGTCTCTATTGACGCTGTCACACACCCGGGTCTGAGATGGCTTTGAGAAAGGTCACATTTCTTCACAGCTCAGAAATGGGATATTTCACATTGAAGTTTTCTGGCCCGTATTTTCTAGAAGTCACTTTTTCCAACTTGTCCCACATCATTCCTTGGCCCCCTGCAGAAATCATTTCATTGTGCTTCCTATCGTGAGACTAAATGAGGAAAAAAAGGCATAAAGATGCCATTAGGATAATAAATTAGAGAGGGAAAGACGACGCAGAGAAATAGCCCGGTGCTAGAGGAGGATCTCAGAGATTAGCCCTGACCAGTCATGCCAACAGACCCCTACTCTCACTGGGCACACAACACAAAATATGGAAGCCACCTGTATCAAAAAGGTGACGTTTGAGACAGAGAGCAGGAAGGTCGGCAGCAGGGATTACAAGCTAGTTTAAAAGAGGACAAGGTTACAAATTGGCATGAGATACCTTTTGGAACACAAACAAATTGTTAAAGCTTTACGATAGAAAATTCTTCACTACAATAAAGATCAAGTGAAAATTAACAGGCATTTACAGTTTGCCTTCAGGCAAGTTTTTTACTCTCCAATTATAAAAGGTAATATTTGTATAGTCTATCAGAAAATATTAAAAAGAATTTAATATTGCCAAATGTCCTATATATATGGGGGGGCTGGGAAAATGAGGATGTGGCGAGCGGTCTGCAGGCCAAAAATAAACAAGCAGATGTGAACACTTGCGTCTTCAATGGGTTCAATCAGCCCCCAATTCAAATAACTGAATGTGAAACTGCGTTCTAAGAAACTGCTACGTCAACTGCCAGGGATAGTGGTACTGTAAAGGAGCAGTGATTCAGCCCAGAATCCTCAACAGGAAGCTTGCAAAAGAGACCTGGCATCAGGCCCTTTGAGCAGAGCAAAGGAACTCTTATATTCCAAATGATACAGAACATCTGTGACTGAGAGAGAGTGAGAGATCCTCTATCTGATGGCTTATTCCCCATATTTTAAAGATAGAGTGAAAGAGGAGAGAGAAACAGCAGAACGGAGGGACTGTGTGCTAGGGGGAGAGAGAGATCCCTGCATCTTGTGGGTCACATCCCAAGCGGCCACAGGAGCAGGTGCTGGGAATGAGGAGCTCTGGCCGGGTCACCCACACAAGTGGCAGAGGCACCTTCCACTGCTTTACCAGGCTCACTTGCAGGGAGCCTTATTGGAAGCAGAGCCGGCAGGACTTGAATCAGCACCCAGCTATGGGATCCTGGCATTGCAAGTGGCAGCTTAGGCCTGTATGCCTGGACGCTGATCTGCAAACATTCATTCCCTTCCAGGATCGCTTGTCCCAGGCTTTGTCCAAGTAAGCTCCCACTCACAGCAGCAGCAGCACTTGTAAAAAACACATACCCTCGTTCCTCACCAGGACCTACTGAGTCAGAAATTGAGGAGCAAAGGCTTCCAGAATAGTTGGAATGTTTGGAAGTATCGCAGTCGTGTGTTTACACCTGCTTTCACCCTTCCCCCTCGAAAGGATCAATAACGAGGTTGGTAAAGTCAGAGATGGGGAGCAGCCCGTGCCTTCCACATATAATTAAACTCAACCTCAGAAACTCAACATATAATCAAAATCAGCCGACCTCAGGGCTTGCCCTTCCAACTAGACTTCCTTCAATGTGAGATAGTAAACAAATTATGTTTTCTATTTCTTGCACATAAGGAGAAATATTTAAATAAGCAATATAATTCATTTAAAACTAAAGGATTAAGTAGGTTAAAATGTTAGTTGATGGAGGCTTTGCCTACTGCAATAAAAGTTCAAGTAGTTGAGTCAGTCTTTGATCTAACAGCTGGGATGCAGGTTAAGGTGCTTGAATCCCACATCAGAACGCTTGGGTTCAGTCTAGTCTGCAGTTCCCAGGAATCTGGAAACTAACTCAGAAGAGCAAGCTTGCTTTCTCTGTGCTCCTAAATTACTTGAAGGAAAGGAGAATCCATTTTCCCTGCAGTCACCAAGCTACACATTTGTTTAAGGCTTTTCAATTGACCCAGCATTTCCCTGTGCATAATGAAATGCAGTCCTCACAACCCTGAGCGGTAAGCAGCCAAGGTCTCATTAATTGCTTTTTATAGCTGACAAAGCTAGGACTCACACAGGTAGAACTCCCTGTGCAAGAATTCCTGGCTCTTCAATGTTAGTCAGGAGTCAAAGCATCCCTCTTACCTTCAGTTACCTTCATGCCTCCACTGTGCCCCACAGAAGAAGCTCCTGTTTCCTGCATTGTCTTTGGTAGCTTATCATTTTGTTTTGTTAAATTCTTTGAATTCAGTGTGGCCCCATGCCAACTTGATGGTGTCTAATTATTTTGTCTAGGCTATCTGTACCATACTTCATTTGATGACACACTTTAAGGTATTAGTCAGCGAAGCAGTCCTTCCTGGTCATGTTTGGCCATTGTCTACATTGGCTCTTATTTAACTTTTAGACACCATTTCTCCAAGCAAAAACTGCTCTATAATCCCTTGAGTTTATTTTCTCAGAGTTGAAAATGCTACCAAAATGGAAGTATAATCTTATGAATAAATAATCATGGGCAATTTAGAAAGATTATTCAATAGCTAATTGAAACATGTTCATCAACATGCTCTATTTAAAAAATCAACTGAATACAATGAAACATGCATGTTAGGATCTAAAAGTCATCAAGCAGTATCTCATCATTCCAGTTAAACTTTTGTTGTTCTGAGTTTTTATGTTTACGTATTAAATAGGGTAGGACTAACAGGGGGAAGTAGAGGGTTTAAGAAAGTATGTATGTTCACACACACACACACACATACCTATTGAACTCATATGGTTTTAGGTTGTAGGGAGAACTAGTATAACTTTTTTATACTCCATACCACATATCAACAGCTAAAATTCCCATTTGCCACCTCAGTTTAACCAGTGATCAACAACGAAAGAAGGAAGTAAATATTAGCACGTTATTTTCAGTGGCATCCTTGGGTCGAAGACATTACTGAGTGATGTTTGCCTCGATCATTGTGGATTCTAGACATGGAGCTGCTGTGATTGACTATGGTCAGTTAAGAACCTGTGAATGAAGCTTAACAGTGATTTTCCACCTTCCAAATGGCATACATGCTCTTAAGGAAATATGGTGATCCTCTTGAGCCTGCATTTCAATAGCATGCCTCAGCAAATGCTCTGCCTCGGTGGTCCCAATGTGGGGTTCCTACCAGCGGAAGCTAGAAACGCAAGTTCTTGGCGCTGCCCCAGCCCAGGCAGCAACCCTGGAGGTGCAGTGCGGCCTTCCGGTTCTGTTCATCCCTCAGGGGACTAGAGTGGGCTGAGTGCAAACTCCCAAGAAGTGTCTACCTTTCAGCTGAGAGCATTTGGGCCAAGCTAATCATCCTTTGAAGAGCAACGCAGGTGGCAGTATCTTCACCCTCCTCCACTCGAATTTGAGCTTTCACCTTCTTGGAGAAGATGCCTGTTAGCTTAAAGCAGTGACTATGAGAGGAGCAGGTGAACACCTGCTGGACATTGCCCTGGGTAGCACTGTAGCATAGCCACACATTGGGAAATGAAGAATCTGAATCCAGAGCAGTTCAGCAGTAACAGTACGCTTATGATCACAGCTGTGGAGTTAGTGTGCAGGCTCCTATTCCAGGCCAGGGCCTTTGGAACAATGCCACTTTGACCAGTTCCTGCTCCCCCACCCCCAACCACACCCCCAACACAGTGAGATGAAAGAGCCGGGAGAAAATGTCACCAAAAAACTGCAAAATACCCCATCCTTTTAACACATCTGTGTATTCCCAGGGAAACGGTTTCATCCTTA